GGTTTGCCACTTTTTTTTTCCTATAATAGGTGATGAAACATTAAAATTATGGGATTTAAGAAATTATAAACAACCTGTCAGTGTTGCTAAAGGACTTTATAATAGGTTTCCTGAGTATGTAAAAGCTAAAAAAAATTATTTATGCTTTAATAATAAAAATTAAACATTTTTGAAATTATAATGGGAATTCTCCAAAAAAAAGAAAAAAAACTAATATTATCAACTTACACAATTAAAATGTGAATGATACTTAAGAACTAAAGTAATAATGCATTTGTTATTTTGATTCAAATAATAAAACATTATCTGAATCAAAATATTCTTCTCATATATCAATATTTGCTGAAAGTCTAAATAAAATAAATAAACTAAATAAAATAAAAGAACTAAAAAATGTTAATTAAATAATAATTTTAAGTAGATAAGCATATATTAATCAACTTATGACATATTTTTAAATGCGGATGATGACTTCTGCAGATATAATTAACATTTATCATAAAAAGTTAAGAAATGTATTTGATCATTTTGATTACAAATTTTCTTGAAGATCAACTCAAGTGTTTCTGATTTTTTTTTTTAATTAGCTCTCATTTTTGTGTGTGTGTTAAAAAGACATCATACATTTAAGAAACTTGTTTATTCATTATTTTGCTAGAGCACATTTAAAAGTAACTGAAACATAAACATTTTTGAATTATGTACTTATCTTCAGGTGTCTGAACATTATAATAACATTATTATAACAAATATAATCAAAGAAAAACTGCTTATATAATGTCCAGTATAAAACGAAAGATGCTAACGTTTTTGGTTGATAAGCCATTGTCAGGCATCTAGAATTAGAAAGTTTGAAAATTTAGTTGAAATGTCATTGTTATAGAAATGGAGCTAGTGTGAATTGCACCAATAACTCTAAAGAAATTAAACACTGAGCAGAGATGAATAATATTTCATTTATCTCAGTGGCCTGAAGAGATAATGATGAATATTTTTTTAATTGGAGAAGACAAGGATTTGATTAGACAAATTAAAATATTAAAAATCATAATATCAGAATTATTCTGTTCAGGAATTTTTGTATATGATACTTTAATTATGTTAAAATATATCTATTATATGAAAAATATGTAATATTTCTTTTAATTAAATTAAATTCTTTGTTTTTACTTGAATTAGTTTAATTTAGAAAAGAACCAACTTGTATTATGTATAATTAATTAATTTCTTTTATTATTTGCTCTTCTAAGATGATAAAACAATGCAAGACCTCAGAAGCAACAACTTTATGTAGTTTTTATGATGATATGCATTTTGTGTGTCTGTAATCTATTTAGTCATCAATTGCTTGGTAAAGCTGCACATATCCCCTCCAATAATATACATTAGAGACAAGTTTAAATTCCATGAATAAGCATCTTAACAAAGAAATTTAAGACCCAAAACATGCAACTATTACAATCTAAAATCAATTATAGCTGCTAAAATTCTAGAACAGTGAAATATGAAATCAAAAGAAAATCAAAATGCACATCACTGTAAAAACTAAATAAAGTTGTTGCATCATGTCTTGCATTGGTCTTGCCTTCTTTTAGAAGAATGAATAAATAAAGAAATTAACTTCATATTCTCTCTAATTAATAACTAAATAATAAATTAAGTTAGAATAAAATATTTATCGAATGCATTTTAATAAATAAAATTTTTTGTAATATTTAGGACAGACTGCAATTTTAGTCCAGATAATTCTCTCATAATGACAGGAACATCTCTTCAGAAAGGAGAAAATTATGGAAAATTAGTATTTTTAGAAAAAAATACTTTAAAAATTTCGTATGAAATTGATGTTACAAATGCTGTAAGTGAAATTTTTCATTTTATTTAGCTCAGCTGCTAATGTAAATTTTTTATATATTATCATTTTTTTTGTACAAATTTAAGTTAGTCATGAGAATTGACTTTGGATCATGAATATTATTTCTTGCAATCCAGTATTAGGATGAAAATAAAATGAAAAGAAAATTTTTTTAATATAACATTCTTCATTTCTTTATCATAAAAGTTGTTAATTGCATTGTTTACTATTATAATACAGTACAATAGCATATAAAATATTATTTATTTAATAAGTACAAGAGTAATGCTCAGCCAGTGACTGATTTTATCAGTAGTAAACACATTAAAATTAAATACTAATGTCAAATGGATAGTGATTGTATATACAGAAAAAATTTTTTAAAAATATTTATCTATAAAAGTTGATGGATTTTAAGAATTTATTTTGTAGACATAATTTATCCTCTATAATGGGTGGCGAACCTTTTTGAGCCTGCGTGCCATACTGTAAGCATACTTAGCTTTAAAGATGTTTATGCAGGCAAAAGTTTTAAACTTCAAATAACAATATTTAAATAAATTAAACGAAAATGCTTTAATTAGAATAAATGAAACAATAATTGAAAAAGACAAACGATAAATCAAAATCGTACGATACATTACATGCCAGATGATTTCTTCTTAAGAACGTGCCACTTTGGACACGTGTGCCATAGGTTTGCCACCCCTGCTCTATAACATACTATAAAGTATAATGCTGTGAATTCTGGAAATATATATTATGAATTTAAAAATGATTCTTTATGACAAAATTACTAATACAAATTATTTTTATTTTAGAGTATTATTCGTAGTATTTGGCATCCAAAACTTAATCAAATTATGTTGGGATGTTCAAATGGCTTAGTGAAAATTTATTATAATCCTGATTATAGTGAAAGGTAATTTAAATTAATTATTTTATAATTCTATTTTAAATATATTTGAAAATCTTTTAATATCTCTTTGTTTTCGTTATCAGAAAAAATTTAAAAACAATTTTCATGTTAAATATTTATTTCTATTAAATAATTTTAATAACATTCAAAGACTATTGTAAAAATATGCAATAGCCTTCGAACATAAAAGGCTGTTACAATCTGAAAAGGGAGTCATCAAAAATACTGAAAAATATTTATTATTGAGAGACTTTTCAAAAAACTTTTAATTTTCAATTATTAGTTATTGATGAGAAAAATGAAAAAGTTATGCTACTAGTCAATAAAAATTATTAAACATTGTACTGTTTTATAACTAATTAAATTGTATAATACATATAATAGTACATTAATTATAATTTAATTCATTAAATGTTGATAATTATATTGACTGATTGATTATTTGCTTCATCTCAAGGAAAATGCTTTGAAGCAATCCTTGTTAAGAAGTTTTCAGCAAGTCTTAATAAAAATTATTACATATTTGAAAGTACTAAAATAATGTTTGATATATTAATTAACCTTAGTGTGTTTGTTTTAACCTATTGGTTGCAAAAATATTTAGCTTTATTAAGTGCAGAAATTTAATGTTTATTCTGTTTCTCTTAGTTCAAATGAATATTTAGGTTTAGAAATTTTTTTGTTGCATTTCTGTGCATAAATATAATAATAATTTTCTTATATTTGACCTAAGAAAAATTTTTATTTCTAATGAAGAGGGTTTTAATTACCATTTTTCTAATTTTCAAATAATTTTTAAAGTATTATTTCAAAAATTAATTTCTGAATGAAAACAGAAAGATGAAAATAAAAATATATTTTATTGCTTAAAAAGAATAATCACAATTTATTTTGAATATAATACAGTCGACCCCCCTATAACATTGTTGATAATTCCGTTTTACATGAATTCCATGTTGTACAAGTCACTTAGATTTTACAAATACATGAGCCATTCACAGCCCGGCACACATATTTGTAAAATCTAAATGACTCTTACAACATGGAATTCATATAAAACAGAATTATCAACAGTGTTATAGGGAGTTGAATATAATATAAAATGCCTGTAGATTAATTTATTTTTAATAAGAATGAAATCCATTATTTAAAAGTTATAACATTATGAAAAAACAAAGTTATAATGTATTTATAAAATTTTTTTAGTAAATTCTTTAACTGCTATAAAATAAATTTTTAAACATTTTGTAACATTTAATTATTTATAATTTCAGAGGAGCAAAGTTGTGTGTAATGAAACCAAAACGAAGAGAGAAAAAATTAGAAATTGTTGCTCAAGAACAAATTATTACACGTATGGTAGTTTTGTTAATAACGAACTGGATTTAAAATTACATAATAATAAAAATATTAATTTTTTCAGCTCATGCCCTACCTTTGTTTCGAGTGGAGCGTAGCAGAAGTACAAAGAAACAAATGGAAAAGGATAGAAAAGATCCGGTAAAGTCTCATCGTCCTGATTTACCTGTTACAGGACCAGGTTTGTTTGTTTATTGGAAAAAATTTATTTTTAATTATTGATGCATGAAGTGTTGTTTTTCAATATTAAATATGATATATGCATGTTAACTTTAAGCATTAATAAGATTAATATATTTTTTCAAATGAGATAATATCTTATCTTTTTTAAAATACAACTTAACAACTTAAATACAACTTAAATACACTAAAAACTTAAACTAAGATACAGAAAATATCTAAAAACTTAAACTTTTTAGTTTAAGTTTTAAGATATTTTCTGTGTCTTAAGTATTAAAAAAATAAAAAAAAATGAAAGTATGGTATAATCAAAACTAAGTTTTTGAACTAGGAGAACAAAAATAATTTTAATATTTATTTAAAAAGAAATGAAACTTTAACTGTATTCATGTTAGCATTCTTTAGCAAGAGAGAATTATGATTCATTAACTTAATATTTATGCTAATTGCCACTTTTTATATTAATTGTATATCATTATTAAATAGTAACTAGCATTATATTAACCTGCAATTATGTATAGTTTCCATTTAGCATGACTATATACAAAAGACAGCAATTTTTCCTGATTTTTCACACGTAATTACACTGCACATAATTGCCATTCCTCAAATTTGGCTATTTTGAAAAATCCTGCGATGTCTTCTCTGCATGTGCCAAATTTCAAGTTTTTAGTTTACAATATCTGCATATGTCAATGTTCAGTTTACATGATGTTTTGTTTACAGAACAATAATGCTTCTCATATAGGAAAGTCTACCCAACTTTGCAATAGCATGAACTAATGTAAAGTGAATTCAATTGGAAATGAATGATGAGAGAGCTGAAGTGTTTCTCAGAATATTTTTTAGGCATGAAATAAAGCTGCAAAAAATTTAGATTATTAAAGGTGATATTGACTTAGGCTGTCTTATAGAGACATGCATTCAAGGTTGTAGGGACTTGTGGATCACCATGTTATGACAAACAAATCTCATGACTCATTCTTGTGGCAATCTTGAGAAGCTTTCATGACTGACTGTATTGAAAAATGGTGTGAGAGCACACAACCTTAAGCATATAACCATGTGAAAAAAAAATTGTACAAGACAGGCACAAGGTGGCAGATCTCCATAGTGGGTTTTTAAGGCAGGAAAAAATTTTTTTTTGTCTGAAATTTTTACAGATTTAGAAGATAGCATCTAGTATGAAATATATCATGGAAATATGGCTAAGTAAGTCAATTTGGTGAAAAATTACCATGAAAAAACTAGTGTGTGCAGAAAGTTACTGCTACTACATATGATTGTGGGTTAATTACATACTAGTTGCTGTTTTGCCATACAGAGTGATTCAAAAAAGACTACAATTTTGAGAGCACAATGTATTTTAATTAGAAGACTTGTGCAATAGTTGAAGCATTAATTCATAGCAAAACACTAACTTTTATCTCCAGCGGTAATTTTGTAATTTGACAGTGTTTTTCATTACAAAATAATTAAGAAGTAATGATTTAACATAAAATAAAAAAAATTTCTGTTTTATAAATTTTCAAATTATATTATATTTGTTGTTTAAACATGTCTTCTTTTCTATTTATGTGATAAAATTTGAAGCATAGATAAAAGAAAATAATTAAACTATCATGATTACAGTTATTTATATTTTCACCATACATATAATTTGATGCATCCTTAATTACAAGTTTGTATGTTAAAAATTTAAATAATATGTTGTAAGAGAAAGTATTGGAAAAATTTAACATATTTACAAATTATTAAAAAGACAATATCAAAAATTTATTTATTGAATAAATCTAAATGTACAATATTATTATATAATTATAGGACAGGGAGGAAGACTTGCATCTGCAGGAAATACATTATCATCTTATATTGTTCGAAATCTCGGTCTCAAAAAGAGAGTAGACGACAGTGTTGATCCTCGTGAAGCCATCTTGAAGTATGCTAAAGAAGCTGCTGAAAATCCATATTGGGTAACTCCTGCATATTCCAGGTAAGTGAAATAAACAGGAATTTTGAATCTATTTACTGATCTGTTGATTTTGAAAGTGAATTTTTGAATTGAAATTATTGATTTATTAATCCTTAACTGAATCAATTATCAAGTAGTTTTGTAAGCACTTTGAATTTAATATTTCTTATCAGTTTTATCAGACAGAAAATGACTTGTTTTTGGATGAAAAATAAATTTGAAAATGGTCGATAATGATTTGTATTGCTTACTCCAGGACATTTTTCACTTAATATTGCTGTAAATCAGTGCTTCCTAAACTAGTCATTTATGACCCTATTTTATTATGGGGATTTTTCATGACCCCATTTTCATGACCCCATTATCTATATATATAAAAATGGACATGTATGTCCCTATATTTCACTTTTTCGCCAAAACTACACATCGCACGTGAATGGTGTTTGTATGTGGCTCATGCCCTACCTTTGTTTCGAGTGGAGCGTAGCAGAAGTACAAAGAAACAAATGGAAAAGGATAGAAAAGATCCGGTAAAGTCTCATCGTCCTGATTTACCTGTTACAGGACCAGGTTTGTTTGTTTATTGGAAAAAGTTATTTTTAATTATTAATGCGTGAAGTGTTGTTTTTCAATATTAAATATGATATATGCATGTTAACTTTAAGCATTAATAAGATTAATATATTTTTTCAAATGAGATAATATCTTATCTTTTTTAAAATACAACTTAACAACTTAAATACAACTTAAATACACTAAAAACTTAAACTAAGATACAGAAAATATCTAAAAACTTAAACTTTTTAGTTTAAGTTTTAAGATATTTTCTGTGTCTTAAGTATTAAAAAAATAAAAAAAAATGAAAGTATGGTATAATCAAAACTAAGTTTTTGAACTAGGAGAACAAAAATAATTTTAATATTTATTTAAAAAGAAATGAAACTTTAACTGTATTCATGTTAGCATTCTTTAGCAAGAGAGAATTATGATTCATTAACTTAATATTTATGCTAATTGCCACTTTTTATATTAATTGTATATCATTATTAAATAGTAACTAGCATTATATTAACCTGCAATTATGTATAGTTTCCATTTAGCATGACTATATACAAAAGACAGCAATTTTTCCTGATTTTTCACACGTAATTACACTGCACATAATTGCCATTCCTNATAAAATTCGAATATTGGTTCGATTATAGAACGATTGTAAACGTTCCAGAAACGTTGAAAATAGTTCGTTTGACTTGACCTGAACAGGAGACGTTCAGAAATAGAATCAGGACCAGGTCTCTAATTAGTCTGGAAACGGGGGACCTAATTCTTGCATTTTGTGAAAACGGGTAAGATTGGCTATAATGTAATTATATTAATCTTCACTATCGTTACTTTTTAAAAACCCAGCAAAGCGGGTCCTTGCAGCTAGTGTATGTATATTATTTGCAAGCAAAACAATATACATACATAAAAAACCAGTTTTAAGATTTGTTTTAAGTACACAAATATTAATGAAAGTAAATTACGCTTCACGATAATGAAAAAATTTGATTATTTCTTCAAATTCAACTGTTTTAGTGTAATTTTCATGACCCCAGCATTTCACTTTGTGACCCCATTTGGGGGTTACATAGTTTAGGAAGCCTTGTTGCAAACAATTCTGTTTCCATCATCTTTTACTGTACAATCTATTGAATTTCTTTCAGTTAAATTGTATCGAATGCATACATAGTATTGATTTACATAATCAAGCTTCATTAAATGCTCATAAATGATTGTTTTCAATGTTTTGATTATCTTTGTTATCTCCCATGTTGTAAGCGTAATTTATTCTTAATTTGGTTATCATTGATGTAGAGGATCAACCATTCTTGATAAAGTTAAGGCTAAAATTTTCAGTTATGAACTTAGTAAACTACTACATTTCTTTCAGGTAAAACATCATTATCATAAATAGCACATATTTCATGTCTTGATTGTGTAGTATTTTTGCCCAGTTAAATACTAGTCACAATGTTTATTATAATTATAATTTGTGGTATTCTTGAGATAAATATTTGTATTTGAAGTATTATTTATATAAAGTATCCAAAAATTTAAAATCTAATAATATAAAAGGTACTATGCACTATGAGAAATATCCTGTACGGAGCAGTTATCATAATCATATCAAGGACAAAGATTATTTGAAATGGTTTCCACATTGTTGGAAAATGCTCCAGAAACAGAAAGCAGAAATGGAAAAATGATGTCACTTCCTGTTTAGAAATTTCCAGTCATCAAAATCTGAATGGAAACCTACAGTAGAAAATACTTTTACTTTTCTATTTCTGTTAGAATCTTTTGTTGTGTTTTGACCAAAAGAAAAACATAAAAAGTATGACATAATAGTGATGTTTTATGTCTTTTTGTGTCAAAGAAAATGGCAGACTATTTGAAAAGTTCAAGACAAAGCAAAAAATTAGAATTGTTTTTTTATGTTAGGAAGTACTAGTTAATATCATATCCTTCACAGTTAGTATTAATGTAACACTTTTGATCTGAGATATATTCTTCAATGTGGTTTGTTCATATGAAGATTTTGTCATATTTAGTGAAATCATAATTTCACTAAATGATATCATTTTGTCGTCAATGTTACTTTTCCCACACAGGTTCTCCCAAATTGATCCACGGTTCTCATACAGTATAAAAGAAGTTATTGCCTGACAAAATCTTTCTATAATTTTTTTCTCTGAGTCATGTAGTCATTGTGCCACTTATTATCAAAGTTAGTTGCAAAAATTATTTTTTCAATTATATTTAATAAAATAATAGTTTTGAAATATTCATCCAATTTTCCATCAGAAATGAAAACTTGATCAAATATATAAAGGTAAGTAAGTTCTGTAAGCATTCAAGAATAGTGTTGATACTGTCAGCATTTTTGTTAGAAGCAAGTCCTTTTTCTTAATTAATCAGTATAATATATGCCACGCTCTATCTAGATCAATGATTTCCAAAGTTATTGCTATCACTTTGTAAGTAGTAGACTCAAGCGGCAGTAGGGATGTTAGAAGACAAGGGGAACAAAAATTGATTTTGAAATAAAAAAATATATATGAAATATATGCAATGAAAGGGATGGTAGTCCAAAAAGTTTGGGAATATGACAGATATTACATAGACAATGTCATATAGACAATCTCTGACATTGTCTATGTTCATAGACAATGTCAGAGACTACACAACAAAAATTATTGGAATTTTAAGAATTCTGATATGTTATCGCATTCTTTGTATCTTCAGATTATCACCTATTCTGGTCTCTGTAAAGTTCTTATCACAGCAGGAACTTGAATTTTTTGACAGTATAAAAAATCCAGCTTGAGCAGATTCACTAAATAATCTAGAATTTGAGAGGACAAATTTCTGAAAAAACTGGCATGAACTTTCTGGACAGTTTAATAATATATATTAATGTAATAACAATTTTTTAAAGTTGTTTACATTAGTAAAAGTTATTAATTATGAGTTGTTAATAATGTAGTGTAATACCATTTAGAGTTGTTATTACATTATTACATTATTGATAAGGAACTATTTAAATTTCAAAATAAAAATAAAATACATACTCAAAAGATTATTAGTGCATGGTGCACCAGAAACACCTGACAATTTTTAAATAGCAGTGGGAAATGGGTAAATATTTATTGCTTTGAACAGATACACATTCATTCTCCGTTAAAATAGATGTATTGCGTTATGTCTTGAAAATAATATTTTGTAAATGTCCACCCACATCCTATGAATTAAAATTTTAAAATCTTCAGGTGTTTCTGGCACACACCTATATTTAGATATTTCACATTAATTACAGGAAATTACACACTGAATGTTTTTTTTAATCTTCTATTATTTTTGTCACTGTATTTTAATATTACTTNGGGGAGCGCGGGAGAAGTCAAAATCAAAGTTTAATTCGATCTCCAACCGGAGATGGTCGATGGACTTATATTCTTCTATCGTTTAAAAGTTAGCGTCACGTTTTCATAAAATAAAAATCTATTTCTAACTACTATTTTTTCTTTAAAAGAAATTATTTTAACGCGAATTTTAGTGAGGGTTCAGACTTATCCAGAGCCTCACATATTAATCATTGAGTTTTTAATTTTAATCAAACTTTTTTTGCTTAGTTGTAAGATCATTTTTAACTACGTACAGGAGAAATAAAGTATTTGATATTTTTAATAATTTGTTTATTTCAATTAACCTATATTTCATTTGTAACTTTATTACTTTCGGATTAGGGGGCCAGGGCCCCGTAGGCCCTGCCCTAAAGACGGCACTAAATGAAAGCATTCTTCTGGATGAAAAAATAATTCAAGGCATACAAATTCGTTCTAAGTATAACTCTAACGTGCCAATCACATCTGATTTCTGATTATATTTCGGTCAACCGATCAGGTTTCGTGAAAAATAGGTTGAAAATTCAAATTCGGCCTTCTCGAAATACTAGGTATATACAGTCAAACCCCGTTAATACAAAGTCGAACAGACTTAATTTAAAAATTAGCATTTTGTATTAATGAAATTTGTATTAATCTTACTTGCTAACATTAAAATACTTATCCCTCTTCTTCAAAAGACCACGAATCTACTTCGTATTACGCGAATTTTTATAAACCGACATCGTAATAAAGGGGTTTGAGTGTAATTTGTGTTTTCTTAGTAATATGTAATACAATATTTAGTAATTCTACTGTATTCGAATGTCGCAGTTTTACTGGACAGCTTGATATGAATTAGATCTCATCAGTAACTGAATGGATGAAACCTCTGAACACTGGTAAGATTTTTTTTTTATTTTAATGCTAATATTTGTATTCCTGATGTAATTTTTATCGAGACATGGGCATGCACAGTAATCCGAAAACCTGAATAATTTGCATACGGATAAAAGTGTATTGTTAACTTTTCCAGTCCTATTAATTTTGTTTTGTTATTCTAGTGTTGATTGCGTTTCACATATTCTTGGTCCTTCGATTTAATCCGACCACGCAATATCCGGTGTAGCTAATTTCGCATGGTGGGCCTTAATCGAATCGACTAGGAGTGAAATAGACACAACTTTGCTGGCACACTATTTGTCATCGTTTTCAAATTTCTACACAGAAGCACAGTGTTCTTACCGTTACCACATTCACCTGCCTATGGTGCATTGCCCGATGTTTGGTGCTTTTTTCAGCTATGTTTGCTTTCTTTGTTGTCCATTGCATTGT